TCTAGCTTTTTTACAACGATTTTTTTATTATAGACATATTTTGGACTATTTTTTTTTAATTTGATTATTTTCAAAATAATAGTTTTGTCATGGCAACGCTATTTTATGCTTGTTTATATAATAGAACGACCTAAAAATTGATCCCAGAATTTATGTATGTTATATTATATAAGACACAGAAAATGTTTAATGATTTATCATACCAAAAATATTCATATCAAGGAGATAATTAATTATAATCGATTTATGTGCTTTTTTGTGGAAAATACAATGGTACCTCGACTTACGAGCGAACAAAATTCGAAATACGAGTTTTGAGCCAATAAAACTTGGCGCAATGTTTTTTCAAAGGCGGCGGCATGTTCGAGCCTCGTAAATGATACATCTAGCTTTTTTACAACGATTTTTTTTATTATAGAAATATTTTGGACTATTTTTTTCAATTTTGATTATTTTCACAATAATAGTTTTGTCATGGCAACGCTATTTTATGCTTGTTTATATAATAGAACGACCTAAAAATTGATCCCAGAATTTATGTATATAAGTCACAGAAAATGTTTAATGATTTATCATACCAAAAATATTCATATCAAGGAGATAATTATAATCGATTTATGTGCTTTTTGCGGGGAAAATTCAGTTGTACCTCGACTTACGAGCGATCAAAATTCGAAATACGAGCCAATAAAGCTTGGCGCAATGTTTTTTCAAAGGCGGCGGCATGTTCGAGCCTCACAAATGATGTATCTAGCTTTTGTCAGTTGTAACAATGATTTTTTTTTATTGTAGAAATATTTTGGACTATTTTTTTTTAAATTTGATTATTTTCACAATAATAGTTTTGTCATGGCAACGCTGTTTTGTGCTTGTTTATATAATAGAACGACCTAAAAAAATATCTGTTTTTTTGTGTTCATTAAGACACAACATAAATAAGGAAATTTTTGGAAAGAAATAAATATTCAGTTTAAGGACGAGATAATATTTTGACACTTGTTTATACAATAGAACGAATTAAAGAGACGGATTTTAAACAATTAAGCTTTGTAATTTAAACAATTGCATTTTAATGTCTTTATGCACTTCAATATATGGAAAAATCTGACTAAATTTATTTAAAACGTATGTCGGGGTTGTATAGATAAAATTTCGACACGTGTTTTTACAATAGAACGATCTAAAGAGACATTTCTTGAACGATTAAGTATTACAAAGAAATAATTGCATTTGTATGTACTTTAATATATATTTATATGGAAAAATTTGCTTAAATTCATTTAACTCGTATGTCGGGGTACCACTGTAGAAATAATATTTATATATATATATATATATATATATATATATATATATATATATTATATATTTGTCGACTAAAATTGAATTTTTCCACAATCGTTTCTGTTCCTAGAGAATAATATAAACTAATCTCAAAATTCAAATAAATTTTTCGACTTTCATACTCTACTACTATTATGTATGTTAATTGGATAAATGTTGTAAAGAAATTTATTATAGTTGCTTTTACAATAAATATTGAAAACTTTTGAAATCCGATAAAGTTATTTTTAACAAATAACAACAAAATGCTTCGTTTGTAAGTTATTATATAATGCTCTGTGATTGTGCAGTAAAATATTATAATATAAATATAGAAATTTCTTAAAGTGGGAATTTTAATCTGTAAAATAGAATATAAACATTTCATATATATATATATATATATATATATATATATAACATTTTTTTGGCCAATAAGTCGAATAAAAATACAAATAATAAAATAATTTCTTTATTGTCTTCAGACTAGTTTCGACACTATGTTTGTGTCATCTTCAGCAAGTTCTTTAGTTAGAACTTTCCGAATTCGTTTTTTCGATTATAAAAATATTTCAATTTTTTATTAAATAAATCAAATAAATTTGAGCATTTTTTGTTTCTTCAGAAAATATTTATATAGTAGTAAGAAATTCTCAAAAAAAATGTTACTACTAGATTTAATAAAATATTTTCTGAAGAAACAAAAAAATGCTCAAATTTATTTGATTTAAATTTAATAAAAAATTTAAATATTTTTATAATCGAAAAAAAGAATTTAGAAAGTTCTA